AATTAAACGGCTAATTTTTAGTTCTTATAAAATTATATTTAGGTAATACAATGCATAGGTACTGAAAAATTCAAAATTTAGGAAAATAAACAATATAAGTACATAAAAATGTGTATGTATGAATCTGGCACAGACAAAAATTATCATCAAAATTAGTAGTAATTAGTGCAACATTTGGAAAAAAATTATTGCATACGTTGCAAACTGTTCCTTGAATGTTTAAATATTCTTTATTGAATAAAATTGTTATTATAAAGGAAATATTAGATAGGTTAAACAAATAACTGTTAAAATAATAAAAAAATTACAAATTTTTTTATGACATGCCCACCTATAAATTGTGATTGTATTTTTCGTAAAACTATCGGTTGTTTATATACGTAATAATAATACTGATGGTTGTTAAATAATAATTAGCATCAAAAGTAAATAAAATTAAAATTACTTAATGTGTTTCCAAACAGTTTTTTCATGTTTTAGAAAATGTTGATTTATATTATATTATAAATAGATAAATACGTAATTGTGTGAAATACACCTTTACGTGAGTACCCAATAAAGTGTAAACATGGAAAAAATTGAACTATAATTAAATTCAATTTTAAACGAAATGGTTGTGCAAAAATATTGTGTGAAGAAATTCCTACATTAGCCTAAAAAATATATATATATTTGAGTGTATTTGTATTGCTATAAGTATAGATTTATCACAAAATTAATAAATCAACCTCTATAAAACTGAATGGGTCAAAAAAGAAGCCTATTGTGTTTAAGAATGAATTAATAAATTTAATTTATTTTATAAATAAGTTGAAAAATTCTTCATAGTTGCTCTGGAATAAAATACGTAATGCAAAATTAACGGCAGATTGCGTTTACGTCAACGACATAGTCTACACGAACCAATCCAAAAAGTAATGGCAACAATATATTTCGTTAACCTCCACAATTGCAGTTAACATCATCTTAATTGTTAATAGTGTTGTTAAGTGTGGTGAATTCTTAATATTGCATAGCTTACGTTACTGTTTATTTGTTTGTTTTAATATAATGCAGTATGAAAGATGAAGTACGTACCGTATGTCTTTGAATAATCGGACAACAAACAATCAATTTGGGATTTCAAAAAAAAATATTAATTGTATGTTAAATTTAATATTAAAAAAAGAAAATGAAAAATTGGTTTGACGGTGGTACGATATTATTAATATTTATAAAATTGATTACTATAAGTTCCTAATAATATTCTAATATTGTTCTTTAAGTACTGTATTTTTTGTACTATTACTTCTATAAAAATTTATTGTTCGTACGATGATGTTAAGACTTATAATAGCAAAATATCAGAATTGTGTCTAGTTAATATAAATTAAAATATTTTAATGCTAAAAAAATATAAACGAAATAAATATATTAAGCTATTTTATTATGTGACACATGTGAAATCTAATTTGTACGTGCCTTTTCTATATGTATATCCATGTCTTAATTACGTAATTAAGGAGAATTTTGTTAAAAAGGTAAAAACCCGGCTTCATAGTTAGCACATATTTTCTATTTTTCTACAGTGACTTCTGTAAATGGGAATCTTCAGGCCACAGGTTGACAATTTTTTTACCTTTTTAATGATGTTAAACATATCAAACTAAAATATTTTGTTCATCATCGATTTAAATATTAAAAATATAAAATAAATGTTCTACTTCAAAATGCATTTCATTATTATAAAAATTATTTTTCTATGTGCTCTGCAAGATTAACGATACAGTACGTTATAGCCGTAGGTCCGTAATAAATGGATATGTTATAAGCGAGTTTTAGTGTAAATAAAATGAAAGTCAGGTCTGTCTGACGCAGTGATTCCCAAAATGGGATAACGCAGTGAGATACTTGGAAGAAGTCGCAGGGAATTTTCTACAATAAACCATTAGACAAAAACACTTTGGTAAATTAAATATCTTTATTTTAACAACGTAAGTAAGAATATAACTAACTGGCACAGTCGACTTTTTAAAGTTCGGTACTTTTAGTGAGACAGATCGTAATAAAAATAACTGTTGAATTAAATTTATACTCTTATACATCAAAGTAAATAAAAAAAAAATTATTGCTACTGTCACGTCCTCGCCGGGAATCGAACACGGGCCCCTGACTACGCGACTACGCTCTAATCACTAAGCTACGAAAGGCGTAGCAATAACGACGTAATTTGAGGTAACCTGTATAGGGTAGAAAGCTAATTTCACTTTGATGTTTAAAAATGTTTTATACAATATGCAGGGTGTTTCTAAAATGAGTAGCAAGCTTTAGAGGGTGTCAACTAAATGCAATAGTAAATAGAAAACCAGACGAAGTTGCAATCCGAAGCCGGCCCTGGGCGTGATTTGGTATCGTATAGAGAAATTGCGATAACAATTAAGCAACTACACTGATGAAAAATATTAACAGTGACGGTTGTGGAAGGACTAATACAGTAAATATCAACGGCTTACTACTACGTTATCATACATACCAATGTTTAGACGCCCATTGCGATAATAATTAGTTAAATAACTACTTTGTTCATCCCTGATAGTATCCAGTACTATTTAAAGTACACCTCGACCAAGTATTAAGAACACAAAATACAAAAGAAATATTGGTACAACACGCATGCTGCGGCTGATTGAATGCGAAGTTGCAGTGTCGTACTTCTATGCGTTATTTTACCAGGGCCGGACTGTACTTTTAAATACGTTTTTCTCGAAAATGATGAACTTTCCGACCACTAAACATTTACTTAATTTTATTGTTTTATAGTGCCCTATTACCTCTAGAACGCTTACTGTATAATATCATCTAGTAATTTATTATTAGCTATTTGTGTGACTATTTTGTTTTCAGGATAAGTAGGAGATCGCAAACAAATTTTTATAATAAATTTTGATCAAATATTTTAGTTTTATCCCTAAGAGTCTTGGTCATTATCTCCAATAAAATTACTCCGATATTTCCAATTAATATGAAGTTATTACAGTCATACGCGAAAGATGGAAGTTTCTACTTCTGCCTCACCGCAAAGTAAACAACAATCGTGAAAATGTTCACTTGTAGGCGCAGTCTTTTTGTGTAAATTTAACCTATACTTTATAATTAAACACAATACTGGATTTGAACAATTGAAACAATTGTTATTAGAGCTTTTAATATTAAAAAAGTGTAAAAATCCAATAATGTGTTTAATCATAAAGTATAGATTAAATATATAAAAAAACACAAGATTGGAGTTTTACACATTTTTATTATTAGAAACTGTAATAATTGTTACAATTTATATATTGAAATAATTGTTATTAGAGTTTCTAATAATAAAAAAGTATAAAATTCCAATATTGTGTTTAATTATAAAGTATAGATTAAATATAAAAAAATANAATTAAGTAATCTAATAATAAAAAAGTATAAAATTCCAATATTGTGTTTAATTATAAAGTATAGATTAAATATAAAAAAATAACACAAGAATTGAGTTTAACACATTTTTATTATTTGAAACTCTAATAACAATTGTTTCAACGTATAAATTGTAACAATTATTACAGTTTCTAATAATAAAACTGTGTACAACTCCAATTTTGTGTGTTTTTTTTTATATTTGCTTATATTGCATTCAAATATTCGAATGGATTTTTTATCGACCTTTTCTGGTCTAGATCCATCGTGTTCGGCGTAAACAGGGTCACCTCTGGTAGGATGTGGTTTGTAACCACGCACGATGGTCTAGGGTAAGGAGAAGCTTCAGTTCTTAATTAAAATAAGGAACTTAATATTGCGCTACACTTACCCCTGGGCTTAAACCCTCGACCCCATAAATAACAGACAACAGTTTTTGTTAAAATATTTTATTATTTAAGCTGTTGCAGTTACAAAGTTTTGCTCTGGACGGACGTTCACAGTTACAGTTTATTAAATACTTTTAATATTAATTACCTGTTTTCATGTAGGTATCTATTATAAATTTTTAATTTAATTTAAATTAGAGACTTTTGCAAAATTGACAACTTCACGTCGTCGACATTGCTAAAAATTAAATCACAGGAAACAAAGTTAATTTTTTAACTTTATCGTATGTATAAATTACTACCGTATTATATAATATATATATATATAACACACGCACCTATCTACAACTCTGTACATTTATAACGACACTTTTACATTACATACTTACACGAACATTTTTTATTTTAAATAATTTAATATAAAAGTGTGTTCCTCAGCTAGAAAACAATAAAATTGACGCTATAAAATCTTTTTTCTTTTTTTGTGCCAACAAGCAAACATTCAATTTTTTTTTCTAAGAGTTTTATAAAAATTTTAAT